ACATATCAGAGCAATTACTTTTTAAAAAAATCTTCATTGGAATATATGTTTTTATTGATTTTTTAGTGAGACAGGAAGGGGGAGAGAGAAAAGAGAGGGAGAGAGAGAAGAGAAACATTGATTGGTTGTCTTCCATATGAGCCCTGACCAGGATGGAACCCATAATCTAGGCATGTGCCCTGACCAGGAATCAAACCTGCAACCTGTTGGTGCATGGAATGATGCTTTAACTAACTGAGCCACCTGGCCAAGGCAGAGCAATTACTTTTTGGATGAAATTTTACTTCTATAAGATTCTTTGCATTGAACCAAGTTTCTTTTCTTTTCTTTTTTCTTTTTTTTTAAAAAAATATATATTTTATTGAGTTTTTACAGAGAGGAAGAGAGAGAGGGATAGAGAGTTAGAAACATTGATGAGAGAGAAACATCGATCAGCTGCCTCTTGCACATCCCCTGCAACCAAGGTACATGCCCTTGACAGGAATGGAACCCAGGACACTTTAGATCGCAGGCTGACACTATCCACTGAGCCAAACCGGTTTCGGCGAACCAAGTTTCTTTATTGTAGGTCTTTTAATGGGCAGTTAGAGAGGTTAAGAGGATGGAGGTCAAACATCTCCAGGCATGTGTACAATCCCAATTTTCTATCTCCGCAGCAGGAACAAGATCCTTTGTTTTCAATCTGTTATTTGCATTTATTTACATATGGTTCATTACCAGTTATGAGAGACAGGGACAGAAAAGACATTCCAATTAGCTGGTGATTAAACAGTTTTCTGGCTGTTTCCTCTCAATTTGGCAGAAGACACTGGTTATAATGTGTTGGTAAATTCTTTGTTTCCCTCATGAAAGCGATTGAGTGACTTTCCTGGATCTGCCTGCCCACTGTTGATAAAACTGAATATATGGGATCACAAGGATAATTTTATTCTTTTCAGTATTAGACACTGCACAGGATGTAAGTGGTAGGGAATGGAGCAGGGCATTGGAAGCAGGATAAACATGACTTCTTTAGGAACCTTTGCCTTTTAGAAGATAAGTAGGAAGTGTATAAAGATAGTTAATGCATTGTAAAAGATGGATATGAGGCATACAAATAATATTATACAATCTAGAAAGGATACTGCCAAAAGACATATTTAGAAAAACATTGCGTGGATAGCATGCCAAAGCAAACCAATCTTAGTAAGTGTATATGTGAAAGAAGCTAATATTGATGCTACTTAAGGAACCAGTGGTACCAATTGGACAATAAGCACCTTGTATTCTCTATGCATATACACACTTTTAGAGTAATATTATATATTGTATAGCTATGAGCTATTATAGAAGCATTATAATAATTCCAGACTGTTAGATTTTCATGTCAGATACATAAAATTTAATTGAAAAAAAAAGAAGCATACTCCAAGATGCTTAGAGTAGTATTTTTTCCTTTGGTAAGATTATGAGTGAGTTTTTATAACTTACTCAATTATTTGTATAATAAGCATATTTTATATTTATACTAAAAGCATCATAAAAGAATGGTGCAATATTTTAATACTAGTATAACTTTAGGGGTAGAGTTATGGAATTAAAACTGTAATTTCTACAATTCCAAATTTTTTACTACTAGAGGCCCAATGCACAAAATTTGTGCAAAGGGGTTGGCCCTCGAAGCCCTGGCTTCATCCAGAAGGTTGTCCAGAAGGATGTCTGGAAGGTCATTCAGCTGTTTGGTCTAATTAGCATATTTCGCCTTATTATTATAGATATGCACTTATGAGAAGCTAAAAGATAAAAGCTCCAGGTGGTGCTTAGTCATGGGGTGGGAGAGGGGGGGGGAAGGGGGAGCGGAGCAGAAGGAAGTCCTCTGTACCTCTAGGAGCCAACAATGTTCTGACAGTAAATATTTGCTGCATTTCTGTCAGGGAAAGAGTCAAAGGAAACAATTTGAAATATGCAAGAGCATTCTTTTTCAATGTTTGCCCTCAGGAGAAACTGATTAGCAGAGCCTAACCTGCTGGGGTATTTTAGAGCTTTGAGGGTATTGGGGGGTAGGGGAATACTCTCTCCAGGCTACCTGCTCCACCTAAGGGGAGAGAAAAATCCCAAACAACTTTGTGTGTTCCAGGTGTAGAGGCACAGGCTCGCTAACAGAGTAAGACCCCATCTTAGACTATCAAACGCTTTCCATTCTTCCCACACCTTATCACCACCTTACTAACGGCCTCTTTACAACAGTTCCTTCAGGCCCGGTGCATCATGCCCAGCTAATAAGGAAAAAATTACAAGGCATACTAAAAAACAGGCAAAATAACACATTTTGAATAGAGAGTGAAAATGTCAGAACCAGACATGGCAGGGATGTTGGAACTGTCAGGCCAGGAATTAAAAACAACCTTGATTACTATGCCAAAGGCTCTAATGGATAAAGAAGACAGCACGCAAGAGCAGATGGAAAATGTAAGCAAAGATGGAAGTCCTAAAAAGAAATGCTCGAGACCACACACCGTGTAACAGAAATGAGAAATGCCTTTGATGGCCTTATCAATCCACTAGTCATGGCTGAGCATAGATCAGTGGAAATCCCCTACACTGAAAAGCAAAGATAATAAAAGCTGAGAAAGCAAAACAAAACAAAAAAAACTCAGAAGAAAGTATCCAAGGACTGTGGGACAGTGATAAAAGGTATAATATACGTATGTGGTAATACCACCGGAGGAGAGAGAAAGGAAATGAGAGGTCACAGTGAAGGGAAGGAAATAAGGATTATGTCCTTGTTTTGGCCTCTGATGCCCAAGAGGTGGCATTAAGTCAGAATTTTAACCAAAGGTGTACTTGCTTTCAAATCAATGTTTTTTCTTCTCTTTCACCCTATCCCAAATATTATCTGATCATGTTGTTCTATTCTTAAAGATGTATTCAGGAAACCCATGACCTGTTGTGTGAGTTATGTGAACATGTGTGCATATTCATTTTTTTCAGGATAGAAGAAAAATGACCCGGACATGATTCTCAAAGTTTAAAAGCCACTGAGCTAAGACTTTTGGCTTAATAACTTGACAGTTGATATTCATTCAGTTCTGCTCAGGAAATCAAATGCCCATTCAGGAGTAGGTTTTAGAAGCATACTGCTTTAGGGATTGCAGTGAGGTGGACATTCTGAAGGGAATCTGTTGGACAGCATTTCTAGTAATGGCAGAAATTTGGAAAATAATTTTCATGGAGAGTAAAAATATCATATAATGGTATACTATGCAACAGTGACAATGAAATCTAGCTTTGCACAACATGTACAACCATCAATACAATGAACCTCAAAACCAATGAGATATGACAACAGGAGAATACATCCACTATGATGATGATTTTATGAAGTTTAAGTACTTAGTATGTTTTAGGAAGGAGTATATATATATATATATATATATATATATATATATATATATGTAGGAAAATATTAAAATACATAAAATATAGAATAAATATAATATTTATGTTTTTATAATATTTATAAAATATAAGCCAGGGAAATTCTTATATTTGAAATACAATGTGAAATTAAAAAATGTGGGGGAGGGTGAAAGAATATGAACACAGTGAACTTTAAGGATACCAATGATTTGCTAAGTAGAGGGCACATGGGTGTTTATCTCGGCATTCTTTTTATTTTACATACGTTAATTATCTTCTTTTCCTATATAAAAATGTCATAAGTTCGAAACATACTTGTCTTCATTTCTACCTCATTCATTACCTCTTAATAAATGAAACTACATATTTATGAAAGAAGTAATGACATTGACATAAAAGGAATCACATTTTACCTTTAGCTATTCTAATTTATTGTTTGAAGTAATGTGGGTTTTTTATAGTGTGTTATTCTCAGAGACGGAAATTAGTTTGCAAAAATGCTCATGGGCTCTGAAAATTAGTATTCAAAACACTAATTAATTACTAATGCTCATAAGTGTCCCCCCAAACAAAATATATAAGTGAGGTTATATTCATGTTTTTTTTTTAATCTTTTGAATCTTATTCAAGCATCATTTAATTTTAAAAAATACATGTACAATTATTTCAGTAACTTTTGTTTCTGTTAATGCTCTAAGTAGAATCCAGAAGAATGCCAATGATGATGATGTCACTTGAGGGACATTTGTAGCAGTATAGTTTTTCTTAGGCATCAATAGTCAATTCAGTGTGGCGTTTTGAACTAGTAGCAAGAATCAGGCCTGTTTATGTGGGATCCATAGCACTGTCAAATGTTTCAATTATTTCACTTATCCCTCCCTGTTGTGGAATGGCTTTGGGATGAACCTTTGTACATCACTTCAGATGCAAACCTTACACAGGCGACCTCTTGCCAAAGCAGAGGCTGGCCTTATGAGAGCCCTGTTCCCACCTGTGGGGAGAGCTCAGAGGGTTTTGACTTTTATCTAACCTGGCAGAATCCATCTTTAAATGCCTTACACTACAATTCCAGGTTTTTATTTTGCTTAAGTGCATTTCCTTTTGTTAATGGTTGAAATAGGAAAGGAGAATGTTTATTATGAAGTTGATAAGAGAAAGAGGATAAAATGAGTTTTGATATCTGACAGTGTTCACATTATAGATGACTACAGTGAAATGTAATAAAACATTTTAATTTAAATGCACTTGAATATAAAAATTTAATTAAGACACTTATCTATCATAGGTTCATTTGACAAATTTCTAATATCTTTTATTTATGTTTCTTGACAATGGCTGTTGGCAGTTTTCAGGCTTAATATATGACAGTCTTAAACATACTGAAGTTCTTATATCTATTCTTGCAAAGGATTTTCTTTATTACAAATTGTTTTTGTTTTTGTATGAAAGTTAGTGTTTAATGCAATAAATATCTTCCCTTCTTCTCCTAACTACAGATACTCTAAGTGTGTGGAATAAAAAATTTGTCTATCGTATGACCTTCCCTAAACCTTTGCCATATATTAAGTACGTTGGATTTTCTTTCCCTCGTGTTCCTCTAGGACAGTTTCCCAGCCCGATTCGGAGGAATTCATTTTGTCAACCAGCCGTGGTATATCCATGCCCTGTATACTGTAATCCGGCCTTTCCTAAAGGAGAAGACTCGGAAAAGGGTATTTGTTTCTATCTTCATTCATATCATTTCACTTCCTCCATTCAATGAATTATGTTGCACACTGTGTGCATATTAGCATGATAAATGTACATTTTCTAATTATTAAATACATGTGTTTAATTCAGAACAGTGTATCTATCAGAAAAATATTTAAAACCAGCTCTCTTATTTTTCCACAAATTTCGAGAACATTTTGGCACATTCATTATATATTAATGCCTTAGTTTAAAAGTAAAGAAAAAAAAGCTATATTACTATATAGTTATTGGTATACTTAATATTAAGTAGGCCTAGACAAAGCTATAACTTTAGAAATTGGTAAGTGGAGTTAGTTATTTCACAATATACCTAAATTTCATTGCATATAGTGAATTTTGGGGTAGTTAATATGATTTTGTGGTAATTGTCATGATCAATCACACACTTTGGAAAGATTGCTAATTTGTAAAAAATGAATATCCCTTTAAATTATAAGTCACTTGAGTTCTTAGATTTGGTTTCATGAGGATATTGAGTGTACATACAACAAAATGTTTTCTCTGAGAATGAGTTAATTTATAGAAAGCATTTAGCACAATTCATGGCACATGGTAAAAGCTGAACACATTTTATTATCCTATATAATAAAAGGCTAATATGCAAATTGTCCCTTTGACCAGGAGTTCTACTGGGAGTTCAACCAGGGGATGGGGGTGGCCAGCCAACTGCCCATGGCCCTGCCCCCAATCAGCTCCCCTCTACCCCCCTCCTGTGCATGAACTTATGCACCAGGCCTCTAGTTTTCTATATATATAAAAGCCCAGAGACCCAACAGCACAATGACCCAAATGACCAGTTGATCAGTTGCTATGATGTGAACTTACCACCAGGGGGCAGGCACTCAATGCAGGAGCTGCCTCCTGGTGGTCAATGTGCTCCCACAGTGCAGGCGCTGCTCAGCTGACTGGGATGAGTGGTACTCCCACAGTGGGGCCGATCCCTGCAGGCCACACCTCCCACCAGTGCACTGGGCCTTTAATTAATAATATTGATTTAAAAAATGCATTTTAATGGACATAATTTTATTTTATCTTCCAAACATCTCTGAAAGTAAGCTTATTAAGCATTATGCCCTATTTCAGAGCAGAGGAAAATAAGTCTTAGGATGGATAAGTAACTAGCTTAGTCATTTATACAGCTGTGAAGTGGTACAGCAATATTTGAATCAAAATAGCTCCATAGTTGGAGCTATTTTTACCATTGTGCTATGACCAACTTTCAAATAATTAGTTCCATAATAAAATATAGAGCTCTAAATCCACATGGAAGATAATTTTCCATGTTCCTCGGTGAACGAAAAGGCACTTCAGTGACTTCAGTGTCATAAAAGTGAAAAATGTGTCAAAAATGTGAAAAAAATTGTTAAATATGTTTGTATCAAACATTAGTGATAGAGTATTTTCTGACTATGAATTTGTTGAAAATTCAGTAAACAATTATAATGGATATTGGGAATTATTTCTACCATTGAGTCTCAAATTAATTTACATTTTAGAATTTAGAAAAATGGATTGATGGGTCTCACAAATAACACTTGCAAATGTTGTTGTATGAAAGGATGATCAGGTGATCCAAACCACCTGCTGGAGCTTTCAGTACACATTATACTAGTGAAGGCTTTTGTAGCAGTCACTCTGCACAGGTTGTTCTAAATTCCTTGCATATGTTAACTCATTTAATCCTAAAAGCAAGGCTTATTGCTTTTTTTCTTTTACAGAGAAAAAACTAGGCTAGATGGTTAAGCAATTTGCTCTGAATATGGTTTGCCCAGAATGCTGTCTCATGTAGAGGGAATAGCAAATACAAAGGTCCTTAGGTAGAAATACTCCTGGTGTATATGACAAACAGTGTGTGGACAATACTTAAAGCCATGAGTGTGAATAAAACCACCAAGGAGTGAGAATAGTTAGAGAAGAGAATAAATTCAAGAACTGAACCTTGGAGCTCTCTGGCATTAAGATGTTGGGGTAATTGAGGAAGAATCAGCAAAAGAGAATGAAATAAACATCGATCGATGTAGGAGAAAATCAAAAGATCTAGAGTACAAATGTTTTCATGAGGTGCATCATCTACTATATCCAGTGCTGAGAGTTCAAGAAAAATAAGGACTGAGAATTGAACAATGAACTTAGCAATGAGAAGGACTTTCATAAGAGCAATTTACTGTGTTGGAAGGCAAAATCTGTTTTCATTGGATTTAGGAAAAATGAGAGAATATTTGAACAATAAATATAGACAATTTTTATGAGTTTTGTAATAAATGGGAGGAGAGAAATCAGATACTAACTGGAGGCTGAAGGAGGTCCAAGAGAGGTTTATGTATCTGTATAGGGGAACAGAAGAGTAGAGTTGGCATGTTTGTTCTCTGGTGGGAAAGAGCCAGCAGAGTGAGGACATTTGATGATGTGGAAGAGACAGAGAGAATTGCTTAGGAAGTATAACTGAGTAGAAAAGAAAGGATGAATTCTAGTACACAGGTGGAGAAGTTGGCCTTTGTAACGTTTCTCCTTTATAGGAACAATGGCAAAGAATATGGACACAGATGCTGGTGGGTGGTGAGCATCTGATTGGCCTATTTTTTCAGTGAAAGAGGAAATGAGGCCAAAGCTGAAAGTGATGTTGAGAGGAGGTAGCAGAGTGTTAGTGTAAGAGATGAGGTAGTGTGCTGGATCGCATTTATTTCCCCAAGGATTTCTTACCAGACATCTTGCATGACTTGAAAGAGAAGGTTTCTTACACTAAGTAATGCATCTGTGATAAACCAAAGGTTATATTTCTAATAAAATAAGGGTTTCAGATGCTAGAGCTTAACTTTCCAAGGAAAAAATCCTTTAATTTCCTATGAGAAGAACCTAGCAGAATGTGTGTGTGTGTGTGTGTGTATGTGTGTGTGTTTCCTGGGCCATTGTGCTCTGCAAATAGGAGTGGGAAAGTATAAAGTTTGGAATTAATCTGATGAACTCTGGGACAGATGACATCTTCCCTTCATAGGTCCGGCATCACATATTCCAGGTCGCTGTTTTTTTCTGCCTGTTTTGGCCAGTGACTTGTTCTCATCTGCTTTCACTGTTGAAATCACTTGTTGATTGGTGACAGCCATTCTTTTACTTTAGCTGATGTTATAGACTAGAATTCCTTAGTTTTCCTATATATTAACTTCGGTAGATTCTAAAAGTATGAAAAACAAAGACAAATGTGTTAGCCTGTTCATCATGAACCTGAAGTATGAAATCATTTCTGTAATTTATAAATTATACTTCTTAAATAAATATTATGTAACTTTATATGAGACTGCAAACTGTGCTTTATCTGAGAAGACTGATTTGCAGTTTTGAGATTGAAATGAAAGAAAAGAGGTAGCAATTTATGGGGAAACAGATCTTGAGTCTGTAGCTTGAATAGTTTTTGAGTTTAACAAAAAAAAAGCTCTATGTAGATAGTATTATCCATAATTACTATATGCATACATCTTTACATTTTGAATCTATTACTTCATTTGCTACTTGAACAGTAAACATGGAAATCTTGAGAAGAGAAGATGATGAAATACTATAGAACTGTGGTCAGCAAACTGCGGCTCTTGAGCCACATGTGGCTTGTTGGCTCCTTGAGTGTGGCTCTTCCACAAAATAGCACGGCCTGGGCGAGTCAATTTTGAAGAAGTGGCATTAGAAGAAGTTTAAGTTTTAAAAACTTGGCTCTCAAAAGAAAATTCAATCGTTGTACTGTTGATGTTTGGCTCTGTTGACTAATGAGTTTGCTGACCACTGCTATAGAACCTAAGTCCCTTGGGACATGAACCTTCACTTAACCTTTTATTATGACAATGCTAATGCTAATCTACTTTTATTTACATCGCATAGTTTGCATTATAAAGTGGTAATTTAGTAGTTACAGTATTCGCATTTTACGGATGATAAAGAGAAGGCCATGCCAGTGACAGCTTTGGGGCTCAATAACTTCGATGGGCTTTGTAGTTGATGAGTCCCTTATGGGAAGAATCTGTTTTAATAGCATTCATTATGCACATCATCAGCCTTGTACAACTAACATCAGAATTATGTACACATCAACATGCACATTAGATTCTCCTAATGAACCTGGCTATGAAGCAGAAAACCAAATTCTGGTTCCAGCTCTTTAACCCAATAACTAGCAGACCTTAAAGTTCCCTAACCTCAGAATTTTTATATGCAATACCAGCCTGCCTGTTTCACAGAGTGGAGAAGGGGCTTAACTATTTTAATGGACATAGAAAATTCTTTCTTCTGCTCTTGCTATTGTTACTCTCTCCCACAGTATTTGGGTAATATTGATTCTCCTCTGGGTGTTTCCCCCCACCTCTCTTCTTGTATTTGTAGATATTTTTGCATGGTAACAACCTAAATAGCCTACACCAACTAATTCATCCTGAGATCCTGCCCTCTGAGTTTGGAGGAATGCTGCCCCCTTATGACATGGGAACCTGGGCAAGAACACTGCTCGACCACGAGTACGATGACGACAGTGAATACAATGTGGACTCCTACAGCATGCCTGTGAAAGAAGTAGAAAAGGAGCTCTCCCCCAAGTCCATGAAGAGGTATGCGGGAGGTACCTGGGAAGTGGGCTAGGGTCAGGGCAGAGGCTGCCCAGGTCTAACCTCAGGTTTTATATTGTTGAAGGTGATGTTTGGTGAGATTCTAAAGCATTTTACGCCCCCATGATTGGGTGTCTTGGAAGTTTGAGTCAAAGAGAGTCATTTGAGCTAACCTGAACTCAGTGTTGTTGAAGATTCACAGATAATCTAGCAGGGCCCTTAGAAGTCACTAAATCCAGCGATTTTTCAAACTACGCTTCAGAGTTCTAAGTTGGGTTTCGCAGGCAGGAGGGATGGGGATGGTGCCCATCTCCATTGCAATGAAAATGACTTTTTTCCTAAGCAGTTTATTAGATTTCAGAGTAATATTTCATTTGAAGAAAGGGATTCATAGCAAACACGCAAACACACACACACACACACACACACACACACACACACAGCCCTTTCAAACACTAATATCAAAGCTTATGTTCTCTTTACAATATTTCTGCCAAGTTTTTGTTTTAAGGTTTAGACATTTCTGGGGTAAAGCATTCTACTTCCTTACAGCTTTAATCTTTATAAAATTCACTGCTGAGTCAAACTCCCTGCTTTGACTCTCACAGTATTCTTATGACTGTTTTCTTTCAATCAGTGCATATTTATTGAAGATATGATCTGTGATAGGCATGTTCCTAGGTGTTTTGTATTCAGTGTGGATACAAGGTACACCCAGCCATCATCCAGCTATAGAGGGTGAGGAGTTGCCAGACATGCACAGACGTATAACTGAGTTTGCATTCCGTAGCTCATAGACAATATCTAATTCCCAGGTTCTCGCAGGCCACACCAGCCCAGGGTTCATGTGAAAAATGTAACAATTATTATTATTGGTTCATGTCCCATCACAGAAAAAAAAACACCCTATAGCTCTTGCAAGTCTCTCCTCCCCTAGCTCAGGCAGGACCCAACAGCATCTTACATGTCATCCCAAACACTGTCTTGCATCCTTCCCTGATGAAAGCCTTATGGCCTGTCACTGCTCTGACTCATGCAGTGACATTGCAGTTCTCTGAGCTGGCCTCTCTCTTTGCTGTTACTACTGTGTGTGTGTGTGTGTGTGTGTGTGTGTGTGTGTGTGTGTGTGTGTGTGTGATGTCTTCCTCTCTCTAGGCTGCTCTACCTCTCCTTGGAGAGAAAGAAAAGGCCAATGACATCTCCTGCTTTAATTTCTCCACTAAGCATAAAGCTGATTATACAATATGAAATCAACTCGATATTGGGGCTTACATTGTGCTACATGATCTGATCCTGCCTACCTCTCTTTTCTGTTTGTTTACCTTTTCTTTTCTCTCCTACCTTTCAGACAAAACATCCTTTATTATCCTCCTTCAGCCTCTGCATCTTGTTCCTATCTAAGGGTCTTTATACTTGTCACCTCTGGTTGGAATGGTCTTTTCCTACAGTGTCCAATGGTTGGCCCTGGCAAAGGTCATCTACTGAAGAGGTCTTTTGACCTTTCTCAATCACCAGGTCCTAATCAGTTCTACTTCTTCCTCATTTACCAGTCAATGAAGTGCCTTATTTTATTTAATTTTATACCCAACTTCCCAGTGTAAGCTGCATGGAGACTTCAGTGACTTTGTCTACCCTGTTCCCTTCTGCATCCCTAGTACGTGGAGTAGGGCCTGGCACCTAGGGTGCTCACTAGGTATACTAGCTGAGACATAAAGGCGTCCTCTGCTATCTGTCAGTGGCCCCTTTAAGTGCCATGTTGAGAACTGAACAGGTTACACCTGACACTGTTACTGCTTGCACTGAGGTTCCAGAATTCTGGCTTTACAGTGTAGGTGTCATTGGCCTCTTGTTTCTGTTGTTGTTTTGTTCAGGAAGCCAGAGCACATTGCTGACTCATATTGTACTGCCTAAAACTAGTACGTCTCTTTCTAAATTCTCATAATTCTCTATTTCTAAGTATAGCTTTTTCCTCCAAGCACATTACTTTAATCGATTATACCATCTTGTTAGATTTGGCTCAGTCTATCCACCTTTTGAAGTCTTTATGGATCGAGGTTTCTTTCCTTCAATTAATTAGGCCATTTTGTTCCCTGCACACTTGGCTCACAGCACATGGAACTCCCTGCCCTGAGTTTCTTGCTTCTGATGTGGGCTGCTTATGTTTTAAGACCTCCTTTGTTTGGTGTAGGCTTTGTATCACATGAAGCTCTTATTCTATTTGAAAACTTCTCTAAGAATGAGATTAAGAAAGTTATTTTACTGACTCTCATCTTCTCCATCTCAGGAAATGGCAGTTCCCCACTTCTCTATTTTCTTTTTCAGATTTATGTCATACTCAGAGAAAGAAAAATCATTCCTTTACAAAACAGTTGTAGATAATTCTTCTGTTGGGTGAACTTAGCTAGATGTGTAGGAAGAAGACTCTCTCCCCCTGTGTAAAATTGTGGAGGAATAGCATAGTCACGTGATAAGACACAAAGTTCAGTAGATTGAGGGTGCCTTAAACTGGGCAAGTGTCTTTGACCTCGTATCTCTAATACCTAGGATAGTGCCTGCCTTGAGCACCAATACTATTATACAAATACGACTTTCAGTTTTATTGAACAATATTTAACATCTATTGCTACTACCTTCCAAAACTTAACTAATGTTATTTATTTATATGTATATACTCCTTTGCTTCTTTAAACAACTAATAAGGTAGTACTAGCCCAAACTTATTAATGAGGAGACCCAATACAGAGAAGGTAAGTAACTTCCCATGTCACATAGCTACAAAGTAGTGAAACTAATATGGGAACACAAGCAATAGTATTCCATACATAATTTCCTTAACTGCTACCATGTGCTATCTGCCAGAATTTGTGCTTGTGCTTATGAATGAATTATTGCATTTGATCCTCAATATATCTCTATGATGTGGGTGCTATGTTTCCCATTTTATAGATAATGAGAACAAACTTTTAGGAAGTTTAAGTAGCCTTCCCACAGTCACAGAGATAGCAAATAGCAGAACTGGAATCTTGTTTGTCTAAAATCTAGCCTCTTAAAACTCTAAGATGTAGTACAATATTGCTATAATAGATGCATAATAAATGAACTAGTAATACCTGGACAGTTAAATTTAAATTATTTGTTTTAGTAAAAAATAAAAGTTATGGCAAAGACAACAGAGGCTGTGTGTGGGCTGTTGAGATATCCTATGACTTCAGGACGGACAACGCCCTCTATTGCAGCTGAAATAGACCAATTCATTATCTTATGATCCTGCACTAATAACCCTTTGTTTTGTATAAGAGAACTAAAATAATAGCAATTTCGTTGGATTAAAATAATAGTACACTTGGGCCAATTAAACTCCCCCCCTCCCCCAAAATCTTAATCATCTGAACTGGAAATGGTTTTTGCCTGGCTTGTTTTATTAAGGAATGGTTGCACAAGTGGGGCCATTCTTACATCTGCAGTGCATGATGAAAGCAAAGTAGGAACTTACCGTATTTTTCGGACCATAAGACGCTCCGGACCATAAGACGCACCAGTTTTTAGAGAAGGGAAATGAAGAAAAAAAGATTCTGAAACAAATAGTGTCCTAAAATATTTTATGTGCATTAAAACCCAACATCACAGTCATAAACACATGTAATCAACCCTGTAAAGTAAACAGCAGCATTTAGAACCATTTTAGAGCCGGGCAAGCACACAGAGACCACACAGAGCCGGGCAAGTAAAAAAACTTTTTTTTAAAAGTATATGTGTAGGCTATATTTGGACCATAAGACACAGGGACTTTTCCCCCCCCACTTCTGGGGGGAAAAAAGTGCGTCTTATGGTCCGAAAAATACGGTAATCCCAGATGGTATAGCCCACTATAATTTCAAATGTTATTAAAGTTACCATATCCTCTGATACTTTTAACAAATAGTCAAGGAACATAAAGATTTAAAAGATTGTGTGTGTGTGTGTGTGTGTGTGTGTGTGTGTGAGATATATGTTTTCACAAAACATTTTTTTTTTTTTTTTTTTTTTTTTTTTAAATATATTTTATTGATTTTGTACAGAGAGGAAGGGAGAGAGATAGAGAGCTAGAAACATCGGTGAGAGAGAGTCATCGATCAGCTGCCTCTTGCACACCCCCTACTGGGGATACACCCGCAGCCAAGGTACATGCCCTTGACCGGAATCGAACCCGGGTCCCTCAGTCCCCAAGCCGACGCTCTATCCATTGAGCCAAACCGGTCTCGGCCACAAAACATTTTGGCAAATGCTTGTGTCCTTTGTACTTTCTGAAGAGCTTTGGTGTGTATCCCTTGAATGTTGTTAGGATTTATATAATAGACTTAACTTTATGAGAATTTAAAAATACATTTTCTGTTAAGAATTTCTCCACAGGATAAATTGCTATTCATTTTGAATGCTTAAGACCGATTTTTTCCCCCCACTATGGAAACAATTTATTGATTAGAAGTTAAAATATTGAGATCCTACTGTATAACAGCCTAGGGAACACATTGTATTTGCAGCAGGAAAGACACTGATAAAGTCCCTGCTCATGGAATGTATAGTGCAGTGGGTAACAGTATCAAGCCAGTACTTTAGTGCAGGGCAGTAAATAAAACTATGCATGTTTTAGTATGGAGTAATCTTGGGAAATCAATTTTTTAATTGTCTAAGAAAAACAGTTTTAAAGGTCTGATGACTAAATATTTTGAGCAATACTAAAATGTATTTCCAAGGTAAATTATTATTGTTACCCTTCCTCCCTCTGGGTCCCCTTCTATCCTGCTCTCTCTACACACACACACACACACACACACACACACACACGTTCAACTCTGGTCAATTTCCTTCCTGACCTAGGCATCTAATACCTAGCATTGAGATAAAATGGTAAAAATGAGTTAGGAACTAAGACCTCCCTGTTTCAGCATTCCCACCTTCCTTTCTCTTTTTGGAAAGGAATTTAAGTTTGTTTAAGTGAAGGACTGACTTTATCAGTTAATCTCGTAATTATTTTTGCTTTGACAATTAGTTCCATTGCTTTTCTTTTTCATTAGCATGTGCAGTTGTAGTTTAGCTGATAGTCTTTCTGTATGAAAGTTAATGAGGTCTGCTAAGAGGCACAGCGATAGCCAATTGGCTGGAATGCAGCAGCGGGGGGAAAATTCATTGCCGCGGAGAATTGTAGAAGGGCAGCTGCTTCCTTAATGCTGCAGCTATTAGGACGGCAGCTTCCTGCCCCCACAGTAGCATGTCTCATTAACTCTCCTCCTTGCCCGCTTTATGTTGTTTCCTAATATATAATTCCCACCTGCTATCAAAGGCATGTGGAAGGGGTTTTCACAGTATTTGCTTTCCTGGTCATAAAGAGCTGCTGTTGAAACAAGAGGGGTTTTAACATAACTTTAATTTTTTTAAGTGCTTTATGTACTATATAAGCAAGTTAGACACTTGTATAACTTATAAAGCACCCCCCCAATAAATGTTGCACCCACCTGACACCACATATATTGACTATATATGAACTATAATTGATTATATATTGACTATTATTGACTATATTTTCTTTTTTAAAATATATTTTATTGATTTTGTACAGAGAGGAAGGGAGATAGAGAGTTAGAAACATAGATGAGAGAGAGTCATCAATCAGCTGCCTCTTGCATACCCCCTACTGGGGATATGCCCGTAACCAAGGTACATGCCCTTGACCGGAATCGAACCCAGGACGTTTCAGTCCCCAAGCCGACACTCTATCCATTGAGCCAAACCGGTTTCGGCTATTGACTATATTTTCAATGCTGTACTTGACATCCTTGTGACTCTGTTCTAACAGCCAATTTGTACTTCCTAATACCTTTGTCATTTTCACCAAGCCTCTTGTGTTTTAACTCTTTAAAAGTCTTAAAACATTTCACAAAATTTTAAGAATAATTATTTATTCAAGTTATCTAATGGGAAATTGAACAAAACTCACATTTGAATTTTGACTTTTTTCCTAATGTGATCATGAAAAATAAAAAGTGTTGGTTCAAACATGCACATTTACATTAAATGTGTTTCAAAGATCTCTTTAAAACAGAACTCAAGGCTCCTATCATTTTTAGTTTAGATCTCATAACAATAATTTTACTGTAATAATTTCCCATTTGGAATACATCTGTCTTACAGTAGAAAGTCCCCATCTCAAAGAACTTGAACTTATTGCCTGGCTGGCCAGTGTGGCTCAAGAGGTTGAGCATTGACCTATGAGCCAGGAGGTCACAGTTTGACTCCTGGTCAGGACACTTGCTTGGTTTGTGGGCTTAATCCCCAGTGTGGGGCATGCAGGAGGCAGCTGAAAAATAATTCTGTCTTATCATTGATATTTCTTTCTCTCTCCCCCTTTCCCTTCCTCTCTGAATTCAATAATTATATATATATTTAAAGAACTTAAGCCTATTCTGTGTATTTAGGACCCTTTGCTGTTGAGTATTCCATTTAGAGGCCAGAGGGGATTGTTTCCTCGGATCCAAAAACCCATCGAAAGTGTCTCTCTCCCTCTGAATGTGTAGCATTCTCAGTTTATAAATCCCTTGATGAAAAGGGAGATAATCTGCTTCAGTGAGAGCAGCAATAATGGAGAAAAGAGAGAGAAGGAATGTGATCATTTGGTGATAGCTCACTAACATTGGCTTTAACATTTCCAGGTCCCAATCAGTAGTGGATCCTACAGTCCTCAAACGCATGGATAAAAATGAAGAAGAAAACATGCAACCTTTGCTCTCTCTGGACTGATACCTGCTCTCCACTCCCCATGGATGAGAAATGAAAGGTACTTGTTTTCAGCAGCAGGGACAGCACTATGGAGGAATTATCAGCTGGAAACTTATTTATTCTTGTCCATGTAGCATACTATATTATAAGGCACCAGGAGTCTTTCCCATTTGCCTGAACCCTGGGGGCCCTAGTCTGGATTAAAAAGTGAATAATTTATCCTGTAAGTGCCAAGTTCTTTGTAAATACAATGTAAACTTTATGTCAAGTTTGTACATTTTGGTAATAACTGAAATTGGAAAAGTTTGGCCCATGAGTTCATGCCAGTGATGTGAACTATTACAAAAATAAAAGACTTACATAATCAAAGCTAATTGAATGAAGCCCTGTTTCCTATGAAGCCATATTTCAGCTCTCATTGTGATGTTTCATTGTTTTTCTCTGAACCGCTGTCATATTTAAATGTACTTTTAATGGGCACTATAGGAAATTATGATAAATGTATTTCCTGTCTAGTGATTTTCAGTTTACAGAAAATGTGTTCTAGTGACTATCACTGGCCTTACATTTTGGAGACAGGAATGGCAGATAATCTGGTAAATTGAACACTTAAACTCTTACATATTGTTTAATTCCTGGAGTCTTGTAAAATAATATATTCCCCAAAGTAAGATGTGAAATTCTGAGAGTAGATTTAAAAAAAAAAAAATGCTGTCTTCACAATATACCCTTTATTCAAGACACTCCCCCTCCCCCCACTGAATCCCTGTCTGATTTATTTTAAGAACATTCTCCCCTCAAAACTCTGACCAGGAGAAAGAGAACTCATACACAGTGTTTTGACTGCTAATTTTCAATTATTTTTCACTGGGTCAAAAATGTATATTCACAAACACATATTTTTACTGAGCTCTAATAAATCATTGATATGACAGGCTTAGGAAACAAATCATCCATATTCAATGGTCTTAGAGATGATAGAGATATTACATGAGATGCTAACTCTGGAAAACCACTTCTTCTAAAGGTAATGAAAATGAGGCATAGTGAAACAGACTTTTAGTGAACCTATTTAAGGGAATTCTAAATTTGTAGTGTACTCTTGAATCTGTGCCCATTTTAGTGAAATATGTTTTTTCAAAGCAATAGGTCTCAACTTAGTGTGGGCAGTATGAAGTGATCAACAGTGATTCATAGTTTTTCTCAATTTCAAGTTAATTATCCTAATGATCCTATAAAAAGTACACATTTTCTTTTCAGAAAAGATAGAACACATTGCATCCAGGAGACATACTGGAAGCATCTGAGGGCATCTGAGATAGCATATTATACGTTAAATATAGACTTGGAATCCTTATGTTACTGAAATTTTTTATTTTGTAAAAATTCTGCAATTATAGCACATTTTTAAAAAAATCTTACTTTAAATTTCAAATTCCAGTGTGAAGAAAGCAAAATTTTTACCACCTCTTCAGAGTGGTAATTTTTGAGATTGAGAACTCACCATTAAAATATTTTTTTGAAAGAAAACTATTTCAAGGAACTTTTGGAAACCAACAGAAATAAAGTCATGTAGCAGCCTTTACATTCTTTTTTGCTAAAAACTTAAAAATTTTCAGTGATAATTCTACAGTCAATAATCTCAAGATTATTGATAAGTACATCAATTGCAGTATCACCAGTGGACAGTCTAATATTTGTAAACATACATAAATATACATAAATGAAAGATCCCTTACAAATGCCAACTTCCAGTCAAGTGTGGAAAAAGAATGACTCAAAGGTATTCTGCTCCACCTATAAATATCATAGAGATGGGAATGAACTGGGAATAGAAAGCCACAGCAACTCTTATCTTTATAAGATCCCTGACCATTGGTGTGTTTACCGCTTTCTAACCTAACATACATTTTACAGCCTTGAACTTTATATGCTAGAGAAGCAAGTGTTAGGCAACATGATGCATTGGAATAAAGTAGAAACTATTGTAAGTACAGAAGGCAGTGAGCTTTTCATTCTCATTCATTTTTTTTTCATTTATTGCCAATTTGTAGAATTCTACCAGCTTCAGATGTCAATTGGCATAGCCAGATTCTTTCCCCTATCATTAGACTGGTGTCATATGAAAATTAAGTCAGAAGGCATATTGTTTAGGTCTATACTTATCAAATTATAAGTATCATTCACACTGTCTCCCTGCCCTATGTTTGGAAATTCTGCAGAGGCAAGGCTGCTTACCTGTTCTTCAAATAAGCAATTTAGGATTGGCTGGAATGTATAATATATTTTAAAATGAATGAACAAAATTATAACAATGATGCCTTTTTTTTTCTTCAATGATGCCTTTTGAACTAGCTAGATCTAGATCAGTCTGTAACTCATTTTCCAGGAATGTGTTAGAAGCTGCATAGTCCAGGGATATTTGGCCAACTTCATAAAATTTCCCCTCAGCTTACTAACATTGTTTAGGATTTTCCCTCTCCTGCCATGTCTTGTATCGATAGTTGTGTCTGTTTGTTACATAACTTAGCAAATAAGCAACCCTATATTTCAATTTAATTGTGATAGTACACTTCCACTCACACACACGGACACACAAACACTAGACTATTTGCCCTAATGAATTTGTCTCTATTTTTAAGTGCTATGCTTCTTTTCTTTTCTTTTTTTTTTTTTTTCTTTTCTTTCTTTCTTTCTTTCTTTCTTTCTTTCTTTCTTTCTTTCTTTATTTTTTTTTTTTTTTTTTTTAAAGTATTTTCTTCCTAAAAATATGTTGACATCAACATCAAAGAATTATCACATTTTATTTGGAATAGGCCAGTAGTTCATTTCTCCTACCCACCCTGCTCTATCTTGTATTCTTTTTTCTTCTTTTTTTAATATATCCCATTGATTTTTTACAGAGAGGAAGGGAGAGAGACAGAAAGCTAGAAATGTCGATGAGAGAGAAACATCGACCAGCTGCCTCCTACACACCCCCTACCAGGGATGTGCCCGCAACCAACGTACATGCCCCTGACTGGAATCGAACCTGGGACCCTTCAGTCCGCAGACGCTCCACCGCTGAGCCAAACTGGCTTCGGCTCTATCTTGTATTCTTGTATATTCTTTTTTGTTTGTTTTGATATTTCAGGAGCAGCTACTTTCAAAGCTCCTTTAAGAATAAATAACGTCTCTTATGTTATCAGTGATAGTTGCACACATTTTTGACTGACATTTTAAAGAGATTACCATGAAGATATACTCTAGGAAATATGAAAAAATGCCTCTTTAAAAATGGGATAAAGCAGTGATACTAGAATATGGGTTCTATTTGTACTCTCTTCCAAAAAGTAAGGGCGAAATATAGATATCATTTGAAGAAGGATATTTGAGGCCTTGCTGTGAGCATTCCCATATAGTGTAAGTCTTCATTGTATAAATCCAATGTGGTAACTTGAACACATTGACAAACCTGGCACTATGCTAACATAATGTACAAGTATTAAATAGAGTTTTGCAAGCAAGTTTTTGAAGTGGGCATGCATTAGTTCTTCTATTTCAGTAATAGTTTGCATAATTGTAGGCACAGCCATTCTTTAAGTCTTTTCATATAAAGTGCTTGTTTACTTTACAATACTGAAAATTCATATATTCATAAGCAGAAAAACCAAACAGCTAGGTTCTCAATATTGTAAACTAGGTCGCATTGTTAAATATTTGAAGTATCTGTAATATTCTTGAGGGAACAGAAATGTCTCTCATGCATCAAGAAAATTGAAAGTTGTTTCAGATATCCAGGAACATATTTCTTTTCACAAAAAGAAACCCTTATTCCTGGCCTGCTTGGCTCAGTGGATAGAGCATCGGCCTGTGGATTGAAGGGTCCTGGGTTCGATTCCGGCCAAGGGTACATGCCTGGGTTGTGGGCTTGATCCTCAGTGGGGTGTGTAGGAGGAGGCAGCCGATCAATGATTCTCTTCATCATTGATGTTTCTATCTCTCCTTCTCCCTTCCTCTCTGAAATCAATAAAGAAATATATATTTTAAAATAAGAAACCCTTAGACTTCAGGGACAGACTGCATTTTCTTCTAGAAACAACATAAAGGTTTATGGACATGTCCATGGCCCTTTAGAAAAGTTGTATCAGGAAAACCTGCTGAGAGACTATGCACTCTTCTATTGTTTTATCTAAATGTCTAATTGGTCTGGTTAATAATTTATCTCTTTGCTTCTTATTTTGTGTGTATTAATGTAATTACTTGAAAAATTGCCATCATACATGAGGATATTTCAGAATGATTTTCAACACACAAAATAAAATGAGCAGAGCTCTGGCATGGTATTTGTATTTTAGGATATAGTATTTATATTTGTTTACATCAATAAGATAATAGGCATATATTCCATGTTATATGTACTAAATAGAGATAAAGCCTGAAAATGGTGGTGTATTTTAAATTTATGAGGCCATTAGACTATGTAAGAATCAGCAGGTAATATAAAATACATTGGAACAAAAGTAGGAAATTGACTAAATATTCATGGTGTATAATTATGTTTAGGAGTGAAAAATATTTGGTTTTGGTTGAAAAATCTGCTTTCTAATCTGTTATTGAAACTATTCAGCACTACTTACTTTTTGAAATGGGGCAAATAAGTGAAAATATAAAAGGACATTTGGCCTTGAAACATTATTATATTATGATCTTAATGGAATAGAGAATATAATTTTCTTTCATGAAATCAAGTTATTTTGTAAACATCCATAAATTAATCCCACACGTGGAGATAATACTATGAAGTGTCTTCTGTGTTCAGTGTAGGAATTTATTCTCCTGGGGTGTAGGAAACAATATAAAACAGCAATTCTGTGGATTTAAACATGCAAAGTTGTGAATTTTTCTTAGAAGGAGGAGTGCAAGTGGTACTGTTGAAATTAAAAAAAAATATTTAGGAACCAAATAAGTATAGGACTTAAAATGCACTTTTATAGTACATAAAGGGCATTGTTACAATTTAGAAGGTGTTTGGTCAGTATTTGACTTAGTTTCAATTCAAATATTTTTTGTCCTTAATGATTTCAATTCATTTATTCTGTCAAAATTATTTCTTGTGGTAAATGAGAGGGGCATAGATGAATAATGAAATAAATTTTAAAAGTTTCAAGAGTGAAATCAGTCCTCAACTATTTTGAAAAAATTGCAATAGAGTATATGTAATGGGTTTACAGATAACAGGTGCAAAGCATTTTGTTTCTAATCCAGTTCTTCAGTTTCAAGATAAGCAAAATTCAAAGATCAAGTCGTTTTTGTTTTCAAAACTTTCAGAAAAAAACAAGATGTCTAAGAAGTAATTATACAAGTCTTTCTTTGATAAGAATACTGAGCACAGTACTATTTAGCTCAAATATGTTTGACCTTTTGAGGAACATATTTATTTCCATACATTATCATAAATAGTGTAATAGCATTTTTAAATAAGTACACATTTCTGTTTTAAAAAATAATTTATTTTGCATATGGTGAATGCTCAGTTTGGTAGTACTGAATCTGTTGCATCTGTGAAATGGATATTTCTCAAACAGACAATAACTTTGTTCTGAGAGAAAATGTAGTTAGCTTTTTAGGTGAGGATATACTACATTTTTTGATGTTTGAATGCATGGCGGTTAAATGTGAAAGCACAGTTCATTTTATCAAGATGATATTTACAGTATTCTAGACAAGCTTTCAAAGCTGGTTAGACAAGGGAAATAAGTTAACTTTTAAGTTGCATATAGCAACGAGAATGGCCAGTAGACAAAATATTATTTCCTCACATCGCATAAAATTATTGGATGAGACAAGTGACTACACTCAGAAATTTGAATTACATAAAGCATTGGTTTCAATAAATCTTGTTCAAAATAACCCCGGTTCAAAATATGAAGGAAAATAAAAATATGCACTTGACTGGAAGAAAGAATGCTCACTCAATAAATATGTATTGTATCTGCTGCGAGCTTTTTCTCACTTATCTTACCTGTGGGTGAGAAAAATATCATCTAACAAGGGTAAAGAGTCACTTAACGAGGACCCTCTACAATAGACCTTCTTCGGCTCAGACGCAGATGGTTTTCCCATTCAAAGTGTTTGAGGGAAACAAGAATCATTATGGCCACCTCTTCCTAAAGCCATACAGGAGGAGCCCACATTCCTAGCAGAGACTACATAAGCATCCTGAGGGGAAATCAACGCAGGACAACCCGAGGTTGCGTGAGAAGCCACAGATAGGGCTTTCACTTCTTTTCACAAAAAAGGGCATTATAGAGTACTATATGTTTAAGTTATCTTTATTGTAGAGAGTATTACAGGTGTTCCCCTTTTTCCTCCATTGACCCCTTACAGCTCCCCCTTCTTCCTAGTACTTCCCTGCACTATTATCTGTGTCCATGGGTTATGCATATATGCATACACATTCTTTGGTTGATCTCTTCCCGCTCCCCTCCCCTCTGAAATGGCATTATTAATTATAAATATAGAAAAATATTCTTAAAAACCATGGTTTCTATTATCAGGAGTTAAATACTTGGCCAACGAGAAGAGGACGTGAGGATGTGATGGTCTGTCTTTGCACAGCAGCATCACAAACCCTTGCATCGCCTCTAAAAATAAAACAAGCTTGCTCCCCCCCCTCCTTTTTTTTCCTAATTGGAACCATAAAGGTACCAGACAGAAACCATAAACACTTTGTTGCTTTTTAAGAAATACTACATTATATGGATATAAACACAATAAATACTTTATAAAAAAAAAAAAAAAAAAAAAAAAAAAGAAATACTACATTATGTGGATATAAACACAATTCACTCTGTTGGATAGTATTAAAATATTTGCATGCTGATTTATAAATTCTAACCTAAAAATTTAAAAATACATCATGACAAGATTTAGTACCAGACACTTATTAAATGTTTTTGTTTTTGTATATGGGATTCATAGAAAAGACTGGTAATTATCTTTGCATTTGAATTCATATATCAAAACATTTTTATTTTGATGTCTAATGGACATTTCACATTCAACATTTACAAAACCAAACTTTTTTTCCTTTATCTTCAACCTGCTTCCTCTTTAGCTTTCTTATCTCACTGTTAAACTCTAACTTTCAAGTGTCTAGGTTTAAATCTTTGTAGTCATCTTCTCCTTCTGATCTTAAAAATTACATCCAATCAACTAGCTGATACTGTTGGCTCTTCTTCAAAGCATGTATATCCTTATTCAGACCATTTCTTTCACACTATCTTTTGAACCAAGACTTTAACATTCTCTATCTGGAATATTTTAATTTGAAAACTAGTCTCCTTGCTTTGACCTGGGGCCCCTTGAGTCAAGTTACAATATGTTAACAAGAGTAAACTTAGATGATTTCACTCCTCAAAATCTGTAGCCAGAGTACCAACCAAAGCCTTATAATGGAGTACGAAGAGGGATAATATGAAGTTAGTAAGCACCATATAACAGAATAACATTTTTTTAATTGAGTTGGCACTTTTGCCTCTACAATGCAAATGTAATTATTTAATACTTTAATTTATTGCTTCTAAAGTCCTAAATAATACACCCTCTCACCCCTGACTCTTCTTAGATCTCACTTTTTAAAAATATTTATTGTTGGAAGAATTACATATGTCCCCTTTTCCCTCCATTGACCCCTTCTAGGCCACCCCTACAGCAGGCCTTCACTACCCTATTTAGATAATATCTTAAAAAACATTTTCCTTTTATTCTCTTGCCAAATTGTCATCCTTGCTATTCTCAGAACTCACTGAGCATCCCTCTACATCAGAACTTGCACTTTGTTCCTTCTGTCTCTTTCCCCAGATATTCTCTTGACTTATTTCTTCATCTCCTTTAGATCTTTGCTCAAATATCACCTTCTTAGAACTCTCTAGATCTGCCTATTATAAATACATGGCTATATCTTTTTTTTTTTTTTTTAATATATTTTCCTTTTCTGTCCTATTTTTCCTCCACAGCTTTAATATATATATATATATGTGTATATATGTATATATGTATATATATATATATATATATATATATATATATATATATATATATATTGTTGATTTTTTACAGAGAGGAAGAGAGAGGGATAGAGAGTTAGAAACATCCATGAGAGAATCATCGATCAACTGCTTCTTGCACACCCCCTACTAGGGATTTGCCTGCAACCAAGGTACATGCCCTCGACAGGAATCGAACCTGGGACCTTTCAGTCTGCAGGCCGACTCTCTATCCAATGAGCCAAACCAGTTTCAGCTCCTCTACAGATTTTATCACCTTCTAATATACCACATAGATTACCTATTTTATTTTATACCTTTTCCCTAATAGAATGTGAACTTTACACAGGCAGGGTAGTTTGTCTATCTTGTTTACTATTGTGTTATTGGTGCCTTGAATCATGCCTAGAATTTAGTAGCATATCCAAAAAGATTGCACGAAGATCTTAATTTATTTCTGCAAGTTATATAGTAGCCAAGCAGTATGCATTTTTTCTTAATGGGAACATCATTTTGTTATTTATCTTAAAAGGGGGAATTTTTCTCTCAATGATGATGATGATATAATCATGAATCAAGAAGTATGTCCTCCTCTTCCTCAAATTGAATCTCTATCTCATCAATTTTGAGCTTTATCTTTGGAAGTTACTCTAAGATGATTAGGCCCTATATCATACAAAAGGTTTATACTTACTTTTGGAGAGACTCTAAGATTCTTCTGATGAAAAGTTAGTTTGAGCTGGAAACCATAGTAAATTGTTTTTCATTGATTACCCTAGTTAATTCCAATGCTAAAAAATTACAGGAAGTTAAAAGACAATTATTTTTCTAATATTGGAAGTCAAATTAGGAGAACCTGCCTGTGTAGTCGCTTTTACTAGAAAAGCAAAGGAAAAGAAGAGGATGAGGAAAGAAATGATAATTGCTTTTGATTAGAAGATGAATGAGAAAGCCTTTTGATAATGGATCTTAATCAGTTAATCTAAGTAAACAAAAGTATTTAATTCAACTCAGAAGGGAGTAAAAGGACTGACTCTGCTTCAGATTATGCCTGAGGCTATCTCAGCATGGCTATTGTTGAATTTGGGCAAGAATGGCTTTGAAGTTATTTAGCCATTATCATTTGACCTGTTTTAACTGCTTTTTCATGGCTTTTAAAATAATGTGTGAAAATACTGTATTAGGCCCATACTGAGAATATAAATGTTACAAAGAATCTTACTCTCTTAAAATAATGCACTGTCTTAAAACAATAGTATTATTGTATTCTAAATTGAGAGTAATCTACTTTAAATATTATTTCTCTAGGAGAAAATAAATTAGGATTAAAAACAGTATAGCTCCATATGTCATACTGTATAGTATGATAAATTTCAAATGCATTAAAAGTTCAAATAAAAACCAGTAAACTATTGAAGAATCAGTAGAAAGCATGAAGGAATGCTTTGATAATTTTGGAACAGAGGCTTTTATATCTATGATTTAAATTCCAAAAAGAAAAAAAAAAGATAAATTTGAATAACTAAAATTCAAAAATTTCTGCATGGAAAAAATTATAAGCTAAGTCAAAAGACAAGTGAAAAATTGGGGAACATAAAATTTTTATTACTTTTAAAGGTTTCTAGAAATTGGTCAGAAAAAAGAAAAAAGAAAAAAAGAAAAATTAGCAGCTGATATAAGCAAATGGTTCATAGGAAAGAAAATATAGTTTCTCTAAAAATATGAAAAGATGCTACCCCATACTCCAAATGAGGGAAGTAGAAACTCAAACTATGAAGTAGGGTGATGGCATAATCTCTTTCCAGGAGGCAAAAGGGAAATAAGTGCTGCTTTACATTGCTTTTGAGACAGATGGCAATTTGGCAGTATCAATATCTATCAAAACTATAAAAGGAAGTGGACTTTGACCTAGCCACTCCACTTTTGAAAATTTATCCTTGAAATGTACTCACACACATGAGAAATATTGCATAGAATATATTTAAATATACTTCCAAGGGTATTCAAAGGATAATTGCATGAACAAAAATTGGAAAATAATGTAAAAAAATATGACATACACATGGAAAAGATACTACACAGATCTGATAACTTAAACCAGAATACTATACAAATCTAAAAAAACTGAGGGAACACTTATATACTGAAATAAGATCTCTAAGATATATTCAGAAAGAAAAAAAGGTATAGAATATTGTATAGAATATGTTATATTTAATGTAAAAACATGGAAAAGGAACTAAAAATAAATGTTCACATTTGCTTGTATATGCAGAAGAATGTAAAGGGCTTAATACATTGGTTGTTGGGAGAGTTAGAAATTGAGTGGATTTAAACAAGAATGGGAAAGAAATGTTCACTTCTCATCTTTCTACATTTTTTAATTGGTGAACTTTGTGAATGTATAATTTATTGAAAAATCAAATAAAAAATTTAAGTACTTTGGTCTTAAACTATTTTGACATTGCTAATAGTTAAGAATTTTGTAGTATACATGTATAGAGAGAATATATATATAGAGAGAAGTACCCATGTATCCACTATTCAGCCTAAGAAAAAAAGGATTTAAAACCACTATTGAGTCAAAAAAAAAAAAAAAAAAAAAAAAAAAAAAAAAAAAAAGAAGAAGAAAAAGAACTCATGGACAGGGATTACATGGGGGAAGGGTGGAAGAGAGTAAAGAGGAGATTAGTTGAAACTCTATTGTACCTTTCTTTCCTATTTCACTATGTTTTATTTGCCTCTTTCTTCATATTAAATTTTGTGGATATTGTTTTATTAATATAAATTCCTAATTTGTGTTCCAACCTAATAATTTTAAGTCTTTCCTATTTTCTAATATTAAAATTTGTGAAATTTATGCATATTTTTCTTTAGAAAATGAGTTTTTTCTTTATTTTCCAAAGTATTTTGCAGTTTTATTTCTGACATTTAATCCTTGACCTCCACAAAATTGATGTTTGCAGTAGTGAATGATGGAGATCAAATATTGCCCTTCCCCATCAACCAAGTGTCTAACCTTGGTTTTAGGTAGTCCTGAATTTATTCATTGCTCTGAGTTTCAGAGTCCTGCTTTGTTTCCTATACTTTTAGTAGCTATTCTAACCAAACCTTTAGGTGTAACAGGAGTAGCAAAAGAAGATTAATGTCTGCCATTAATATTTGATATCTTGTTTTGGATTTTTTATATCTGTCTTGTACTTATCATTTGAGTATTTCCTTTATTTTTGCTAGGTTAGTATTATTATTATTATTTTTTAAATATAACATTTCTACTTGCTTTATAGATGAATAAATTGTCAATACTACCAGAAGTCTTTTCAATTGATTGACATTATAGGCACTTTGAATTCTGACAGAATAAAATAATTGAAATCAGAAGCCCAATTTAGTTTTTAAGAAATGTATATTGTAGGAACTTTGCTACTGTGATGTTTATCACCAACAATTTTGACACATGCCTCAATGCAATGTGTCCCAGTTATTATAAATTAAAAGAAATAAAAGAAAATCTGATGAGTGTAGGAAGCTGAATACCTACTGACTCATGAATAAATGCTCTAGAGATTTTTGTTGCACATTAAAAAGATATTTCATATTGGTTGGAATTGATATTAAGTGGTGTTTTCTTTTTGAAACCACAATTGCTTAGTCATTTATTTTTCTCTTACAGTTAATTTCTGTATTGGTATAGGCAAAAAGCTCTCAGATTTCACC